CTATCTATCTATCTATCTATCTATCTATCTATCTATCTATCTATCTATCTATCTATCTATCACCTATCTCTGAAATACTGACTACTTAAATGTGACATATTAATTCATGTTGCAGGTTGCCTTATCATGTTTTTCAGATCCATGAGTCCCATAATCGTGATTTGTAGCTGTGACTCCTTTAGACTAGTTAATCTAATCATACTACGGCATGCCACATTCAAGGATAATAGATGGTTAAGCAGATATTATTCTTCCAGGAAAACAGAGAAGCTGAGCTATTATTTTCAATGAAATGTATGTAATCAGGTCTTGTTTTGAGAAACAGGGTCAGGAGAAAGTGTATTAACTCTCTGCCATCCTGCTCATGCTGAGCCTTTATAGACCATGTTGTTTGTTCAATAAATAAATTAGGAAGTGCATAACTGCAATGACAGGAAATAAGGTGCTAGTGGGATGATTAATTTGGTCAGCAAAGCTGGCTGAGGAACTCTGGGAGTTGAAGTCCACAGGTCTTAAAGTTGCCAAGGTTGGAGACCACTGATCTATAGGATGATCAGCAGGTTAATCCTAGATTTAAAACAAGCATGAGTTAATATGTTAGACCTATTGCATTCTGGTGGTCATGTATGTAATTTACAAATTAGGAAAGGGTTGAAAAAATATCTACAAATGATACCAGCCCTGACCATCCCATGCCAAAAATAGGCAAATGCTAAAAAACAATTTCTTCTCTCACTTATCCCATGAATTTAAGAGTCCAGTGAAGCAGCAGATGGTGGGGAGACTATTTGGGAAATGATATTTTTTTTAAGATTCTTTATTCAGGATTGATCTTATAGTAACAAAATGAGGAGAGAGAATAAGGAAGGCAAACATCTCAGGAAATGGTATTCTGGATTTTATTTCTATCAGTTCTCCTATGAGAAGGATTCCTGCTTTTCAGAAAATTGTTACTTTATTTTAAAATGTATTTTTAGTTTAAGATTATTGATGCAATCCTAATCAGTTTTGATAGGATTTATATTTGGAAAGACAGGATGTAACAAAGCAACAATAATGCTACTAATAATGGAGTCATTATGAATTGTCTTCAGAAAAACATATTGGCTGCATTTTTATACATTTACCTATTGATAACAACTACGATTTATACAGTTACTCTAATGCAATTACATAAGTTTACATAACACAGCAAACCAGAGACATATGTCATGGACTGATCTATACAACATGCTGTGGGCTAAAATCTGTTTGCTCATTTTATGATTCAAAGGGGAGAATTTGTATTTCAGATTGAATTACAAATTAAATGCAGGTAGGTCTTGGTGTACCATAATAATTCAATCTGAAATTGTTGTCACTAAGTGACGCAGTCATAAAGGATGAAGTCACATGACTGCTTTTCTTAGTAAGGACTTTTTACATGACTCTGACTTTTGAATTCCTGCCAGCTTCCCCACTGACTTTGCTTGTGGGAAGCCAGCAGGGGGAAGTTGACAATTGCAATCATTTAACTGTGGCTTGCTGTGACATCATGTTTGTGAACTGCATGCTAAGCATCTTGATCACAATCACTTGACCGTGGGGATGCCACAATGGCCAGAACTTATTCAATGCTGTTGTAAATTTAAATAGTTGCTGAATGAGTGATCATAATCCAAGGACCCTCTGCAATGCATGTTAGCATAATTTGAATAAATTGAGCCTCTATAGTTAGATTGAAATTCATTACAACATATGATTTCCCCCCTCCCATATTGAATGAACTATAATTTTGGTAGCACAAGTAAACATATTTTTATAGCCAGGGTGCTATGTAGGGTCAATGTGATTTGCTAAGTTTTAACTTACATGTTTATTAAATTATGGCCATCTTTGTTGATGACTTTGGGAGGGTAACAGTTAAAAAAATAATGTAAACAATTAAATAAAACTACAAATAAAATAAAGTAGCCTAACAAACATCTGGATGCAGGTTATAAGAACTAAGAAACAGACATACCCATAACATCAGGACCCAGGCTTAATGAAAAAACCAGATCTTCAAAGATGGGTGAAAAGCCAGCAGGAACAGGGCAAATCTGACCTTTTGGAGAGAATCATGTCTCATAGTTGTATGACAGAAAAGGCTCTTTCCTGAGTCCCACCAGAGATGGGATTCAGAGCACGTCTCTTCTGCTAAATCTAATAGGAAAGGTAAATCCAACTGGGGAGCGTGTCAGACCTGGAAGCCATCTTTTACCTTTGGGACCTCAGGCATGCCACGTTTTCTACATTTCTGGGACTTCAGGCCTGCCACATTTTCTACTTATACAGAGTGTGGGTGATATATAGTCAAAATAACATTCCTTCTCAGAAAGTCAAGACCATCTTGCCCTGCAGCTGCGATGAGGTGACTGGGAGGTATCTCCAATTTCTGATGGTGCCGGATTGGATCATGTGATGGACTTATGCATGCTGGGCAGGGACTTAAACTTTCTTTTGGGCAGGGAAAACCTGGAAACTTCCAGTTTCAGGTTTTCCCAGAGGTGCCAAAATGACATCTCTAATAAAATGGAACTTTGAGGAAACTCAAACCTGGGAGTCTTCTTTCATTGGAGTATTACTTGGAACCCTGACAGAGAGAGGTTTCCAGAAATAAGTTAATTTCAGATCATGAACAGCTTTAAAGTAATTACCAGCACCCTGTGTTGTACCCGGAAGCTTTCTAGTAACCAGTGCAGTTCATGGAAAAAAATATCTCTTGTGCTGAATAACAGATGCTTATGATTGCCCACACCACCACATTTTACCCCAGCTAAAACTTCCAAATCCTCTTCAAGGGCAGCCCTTGTGTAGAGCATGTAGCAGTAATTCAAACAAGAGGTGAGTAGGACACGAGTGACTTTGAGCAGTGCCATCCAGTGCAGGAAAGGCACAATTGATAGGCTGTCACCTGCCCTTCAACCAGTATTTGTGATCCCAGAAGAACCCCAAATTGTGTACATGGTCTGTTGGGAGCAGTGCAATCCCATCCAAAACAACAGATGGAAAGTCCCCAGAATCAGGAGGTCTTAAAAGCCAAAACCACTTGATCATACTAGGATTGAACTGAAGTCTCTTGTTCCCCTTCCAGACTTCCGTGAGCCTCTAGACACCAAGCCAGGATTCTACAGCATCACTCAGACACCACCTGTTAGAGATACATAAATAGGTATCATCAACCTACTGATGAAATCTCACTTCATACTAACAGATGACTTCACCCAGCAGTTATATGTACATGTTAAAAAGGAGAGGAGGGAGCCTGGTCTCTGTAGCACCACAAATAATAGGGATAATGGCGTGGACATCTCCTCTGCTATCCACTACAGTGTGTCAACCTTAATGTAGAGCTCAGTATATTGTATTGAAGCAATCATTGTAGTTTTTAAGTAATAATTCATGGCTTAATGTAGTATATGGTGGCACAGTGGCTAGAATACAGTATTGAAGGCAAACTTCCCACAGCTTGGAGTTTGATCCTGATAGGGCTCAAGGTTGACTTAGCCTTCCATCCTTCTGAGGTTAGTAAAATGAGGGCCCAGATTGTTGGGAGCACTATGCTGACACTGTAAACTTCCCAGAGTGAAGAAATCACTGTGGGTAGTATGTAAGTATATACATTATTACTATTGTTATATGAACCCAGCCAATTATGATTTATGAACAATCCATAGTTAAATCATTGCTTGATATGAAATGTGATCCCAATCATAGACTTGCCATAGATCATTTAATATACAAATTGGCCTTTGATGAGTTGTTGCTTTTTGAGATCATACAAGTTCACACAAATAACAGAACCAATTTGATTGAATATAAAACAATTGTCAAGGCTCACAACAGCTTATTAAATCATCATTCAGGATATACAAATTGCAGGGTTAATCTGTTAGAAAAACACATTATAACTTCACAACATACGAACCCATTAAACATCTTTGCATGATGCAATAGGCCAGTGTGAAAGAATGCACTTACTATATTGTAGTGCCATTCTACTTTCTGTGGCTAGTTGCTCTTTAACTAAGAGTATCTTGTACTTTTGTGCTTTTACTTTCTGCTTTGCAGAAGGTCTTATTCTTGTGTATCACTAAAGCTGCTGTACCCTGATATGATGCAAAGAAAGACTCTAAAGATAGGGAGAGAGCAAGGAAGGAAGCCAAGTTGCTAATATTGTCAACTTTTTCCGTGTCATAGTGGTTTTTTCCTCTAAAGAGTTGGAGCATGCTTACTTGGTGATCATGGGAATAATTGATGCAAATCCCAAATTACATAATCCAAGGGCTAGTGAAGCGCCATCCCAAATTCTGTGTGTTAACTTCACTTTTCTAATTTAAAGCAGCAAGGTATTAAAGATGTACTGAATATATTTAGGGTCAATTCCATGCTTCCCCATTCAGTAAATGTTTCAATCCCTTCTCTTTGTCTTCTCATATTTCTGCTACCTTCTCAGATAGGATATTATTTTGCTTATACACATGGATTGTTCATCAGAGCAATTCTTAATACATTTCAGCCAATGGCAATGTCATCTGCAGTGATTATATGGTTCCATATAATCAAGTATTAGAATTGTTGAATTTCTTCTTTCCCGATACATGCTAAAACCATCACCTTATCTGTTCCAGAGGGGTCATGAGGCTGGATGTTAAAATCCAAAATGTTGATATAAACCAGTGTGCCACTAACGGAGGATGGTTTGCAAACACACATCAGTGTGATCTCAACAGCACCCAGGTAAGGAGAGCTTTGGGGCTCTGCTCCCAGCTATACTATCATGTCAGACTGTGAACTGGAGGGTCTTCCCTATTATTGTGCCAATCCTCTGGAACCATTTTTCCATATATATATATACATATGGTGATGGAAAAAGTGTGTCTTCCAGATGTTACTGAACTACCCATTCCAGTTGCCCCAGGCAATGGCCATAAGATTGAGGGATGCCCAGTTTCATTTTAGCAGCATCTGGAGGACAGATGTTCCCCATCCCGTCTAATGTTCTTATTTAGAATTGTGTTGTAATAGAGTTATGTATACTTTGAAAATAATTAAGAAAAAGGACTTTGAATTCCACATGTACACAAGACCATCACTTAACTGCTGGGCTTATATAGTGTATTGTTGCTGTTGCTGTTGCTGTTGTTGTTTTACAGGTAGTTATCGACATCTGATGGTAATTGAGCCTAGCAATTACAGTCATAAGTCGTGATGATCATAAAGCAGGTCATCATGTGACTGTGGGATGTTGCAAACTTCCATAAATGTGGGGTGGTTGTTGAGCAATCAAAATACATTCCTATGATTGATGGGGTTTTACACTGTAATACAGGGTTGTAAGTAGCTTTTAGGCTACAATGGAGGGTCCAATTTAATGTTGAAACATCTTAACTTGAGGAATATTTATATCTTTTTGTCTCTATCTATTCATGTGTACTATATATATACAACAAAGAAAACGGTGCAAGAAACAAAAAACAGAATGAAAAATGTAAAGAAAAGTTATGATTTGCAATCTTTTTTTGCAATCTTTTTTTCAACAGATAGTTATAAATTTATAATCCTTCCTCCCTCTTAGATACTACACAAATCCTTTCAGCCTCTTACTTAATCTACATCTTCCTAAATCTTCAAGCCACAAATCACCATGTCATTTCTTTCTTCTTTCAACAAAAAATCCATACTGCATAAGGTTTCCAATCTTTCAGAAAACTTTTTGTTGTGTTTTTTCCCCTCTGACTATACAGGTCAATTTTGCCATTTGTAAGAACTATGACATTTTCATAATCCATTCCTCCACTGTGGAGATTTCATTATTTTTCCATGGGCTTATGTGGTGCTTTCAAGAAGGAAGAATGATTTTTGCGCTTTCCTTCAACTCACTAAAAACAAACCCATCTTACAGAGACCATGACTGTTCCTACCCTCTTAGTTTACATCCTATAATATTTGAAACACTACACAGCTGGCTGGCTATTTATTAAGTAACCATGCCACTTCTCAAGTTTCGAAGGGAGTTTGAAAAAAATTGTAGTTGCTTTAAGGAATTCACTCATTAAGGTTAATCTGACTCTTAATAATTTAAACTATATGAATGTAATGAGCAAATATGTATAGTAGCCATCAAAAAGGTGCTTTCTTCAGAGTAGACAGAGAGAATTAACTTAATTCATTAAAAAAGAAAGCAGAACAGTGTCTTAGTCCAGTCCATCTTAGTAACTTTAACGTGAGTCTTATGAAATCCACTTATACTGGGTGGGGAATTCTGGGAGCCAGAAGTCCACACATCTTAAAAATTGCTGAAGTTGCACAACACTCTCTTACCTAAGGAATGTTTCTTGTCAAATTAACCCTAATTTTACATCTATAAAAGTGTTATATTTAGAGAAGTATAACTCCTTGCTGGTTCAGTAAATGCTGCCATCAAGAGAATTTTGGATTTCTGCACCATGGTTTACTTTACCTACAAGAAGGGCTTCTGCACCTCCCAAACACTGGAAAGAATGTATTTGTATTTATTAGTTTGTCAAACATGCACAAGATAGCAGGTATAAATATAAACATAGAGATGAACAAAAGAAATGAATACAAATAAATTGGGACATTAGGACAGGGACGGTAGGCACGCTGGTGCGTTTATGTACGCCCCATTTACAGACCTCTTAGGAATAGGGTAAGATCCATGGTAGACAGTTTAAGGTTGAAGCTGTGGGGGTTTGAGGATGTTACAATGGAGTCAGGTAGAGCATTCCAGGCATTGACCACTTTGTTGCCAAAGTCATATTTTCTACAATCGAGTTTGGAGTAGTTTACCTTGAGTTTGTATCAATTGTTTGCCCTTGTATTATTGAGGTTGAAGCTGAAGAAGTCATTTACAGGTAAGACGTTGTAGCTGACAATTTTGTGTACTATACTTATGTCAGACTGTAGGCTGTATAGTTCCAGATTGTCCAAGCCCAAAATTTCAAGTCTGGTGGCATAGGGAATTCTATTATGAATATTTGGAAAACAGCTGGCTCAGTTCAGCCATAGTTCTTTAATCTAAAACTGGAGGGGGAATGAGACCAATTTTTAGGACCAAATCCAAAACATGAATCCCAAGACAACAAATCAGAAAATGAGGAAGGAGGTAGTGAGAAGGAAGAGACACCAAGGCATATAATAGGAGATTCAGGAATCAAACACAGGTTTGGTCATTAAGGGCTGCTCAATATGTGAGGGGGAACAAACAGGGAGAACTTGAGATCCTAGTACATGAATACAAGTATGATATTGTAGCTACTACTGAAATGTGGTGGGTTGGAATCCATGATTAGAACATACTGCTAAAAGGATATAAATTGTTCAAATTTATAAAAATGTATAAAATGAAACAATAAAAGAGGGAGAGGAGTTGTCTTTATGTAAAGAAGTAATAGATCTCTATAGAGAGAAATGGGTGGAAGTTTGTCCAAGGGAGATTCAACATAGAATCTCAACACAGCGCTCTATCACTGAAGATTTTTACGAAAAGATTGGACAGTATAAGGACTTTTGCCTTGGGGGTTGGACTAGAAGACCTCCAAGGTCGTTTCTAGCCCTGTGAATCTATTATTCTGTGATTATTTACTTCGTCCAATTTGTCTGCTGAAGAAGAGAAAAATAGTAGAGTTCTGATTACATTAAACTATCAGTATGCATTGCATATAATTTTGTTCCTGTAAAATAATTGGAAAAAAGAAAACTCTTGACCCAATATGGACTGTGGCTTAATATGTTTTCTGGTCCTTTAAGTATTCAGTATGTATTCAGTAGTAATGCTAGCTTTCCTTTTGGCTGTAGTTGCTTCTCAAGGGATTAGTATACTCAGCAGCATTAGTGATCCATTTAGGTTTTAGGAAAAGGGGATTTGGTCATCCAACATTTGGTTAGCGTAATGCTTAAATATTCAGCCATGGATGTCCAGAGAAGGAGGAGGGAATCGTGTTGAGCTAGCTGGAGAAATGAAGTAAATGAAGAGTGCTTTACACAAAACTCAAGGCACTTGCTCCTAATTTAATCCAATAAGATGAGATCAAATAAAGTACAGGGGAAGGGATAGAATCTCCATCTTGATCTTTTAAACATGCCACAGAGAAAAGACATAAGAAGGCATTTCAGAAGTCACGAGGGTTACCTTACTGTTTTGATTCTAACAGTCTCAGAATTTATTTTTATTGTGCAGAGCAAAATACCTCAATTCTAGACACAAAATCATCAACTAATTCTAGAATATATATATATATATATATATA